TGTGTCAGTAAATAGGTAGTTCGGTGACAGGATTGTTAGGCAGCCGACGAAAGCAAATGAGGAAAAATATTGGCACAAAATAGGTGAAAAGCAAGCTGTTTGGATCCTAATGGATCGGGGAAATGAAAATATATTAAACTGTTAATACGCGAACAAGAAGGAACTCACAATGATACAGAAAGCTTGAGTTCCTCGTGATCATCTGTAGTTGAGTAGCATCTACAGGCTTTACAATTTATCTGTCCATTAGAAATGAAGTCTGAGAGTTCTGTCAACGCATAAGAAGCTAATGATGCGAATTTAAATGTAACCGAAAGTACAAATGTTTTTGGGGAGGAGCATAAACGTCATGACCTACTGTTGTTAACAAATGTAGTATAATTTGTCTGTCGTTTCGTGATGACACTTTCGAATGGTAATGTGGGTACGAAATATTCATAGAATTTCGATTTCAACGTACATAAATCCAGCTTCTTACTTCGACTTCTCTTCTATCCACCTGACACTGCACAACTCTCCCTTCTTTTTGCTGTACTCCTTTATCTGTGTGTTATATTCTTATATTCCCATAATTTACTTTAATTTAAGTGGTCAGTATGAATGTTATCTTGACTTACTACTGTATTGACTACTTTAACATGACAGGTTAAGTAGTGCTTTGGTTATATATATACACTTGACACACTGCTGCCTTTTTCTCTCTTTTCTCCTTTTCAGAACCCCATTCACGGTGGGTAATCCTTGGCAACTCTAGGGAACATGCACCCAATGTACACGACTGTCTGGATCACAGCTCGTATCAAGCGCGTTCCATATGACCTTTCCCAACAAATTCACTATTGATCTCGGCCAATCGCCAATAGAACCTATTGTGCACCTTCCTCATTTGTACTCTAATATTGAAAATGTGGCTGTGTAATACTGTTTCTGTCAGTGATATGGTGTAAATATGCAATCAGAAACTGTCTCTTATACTTAATTTAACTGCTATAACTTTTACAGTAATTGTAAAAGCATTTGTGACAATTTGATCTAGCCTGTAAACTGGCGTGTCTCTTGTAACTTAGTTATTTGAGAATAAATTATTATTATTAAATGCTTCAGATTAAGCCCTGTTTTTTGGACACTACGACGGAGCACACTCTCTCTACTAGTTCCACATTACAATCAAGTCACCAAACTTTGGCTTCTGTATGTAGGACTAAATATCCATGTAGCACATCACATTGATATTAAGTCAACTAATAGTATAAGTTGTAAGACGTGTGTCAGTAAATAGGTAGTTCGGTGACAGGATTGTTAGGCAGCCGACGAAAGCAAATGAGGAAAAATATTGGCACAAAATAGGTGAAAAGGCAAGCTGTTTGGATCCTAATGGATCGGGGAAATGAAAATATATTAAACTGTTAATACGCGAACAAGAAGGAACTCACAATGATACAGAAAGCTTGAGTTCCTCGTGATCATCTGTAGTTGAGTAGCATCTACAGGCTTTACAATTTATCTGTCCATTAGAAATGAAGTCTGAGAGTTCTGTCAACGATAAGAAGCTAATGATGCGAATTTAAATGTAACCGAAAGTACAAATGTTTTTGGGGAGGAGCATAACGTCATGACCTACTGTTGTTAACAAATGTAGTATAATTTGTCTGTCGTTTCGTGATGACAGTTCGAATGGTAATGTGGGTACGAAATATTCATAGTCTGTCAGTATTTTCTAGAGTTAGAATAATTATTAGATGGGTCGTAAAAGAGTGCCTTGGGATTTGGTGTGAGCTCCGGAAACTACTGATAAATCTCTTAAGAGTCTAACAACAGAATTACTAGTTTCCTGAACCTGGTGATTGCGTCACAGATAGGGACGGAAATTAGCTATTTATCCCAAAATAAACTGAATCGCGTTACAAAAAAATTACGACGCAATGATTTTTCGTATTTTGCTGTTAGCAGTGTATCTGCGTTGTTTCTGAGTCTGTAAGCAGGACTGTGGTTCATAATTGATGGGGATGTTACAAACGAGAAACCATATATTATTTTATATAGGAGTATTTGCTTACTTTTCAACCAACGGAGCCAAAGAGGTTCTAGGGAAAGATGTTTGCATCTTTTGTGTTGCCGAGTGTATGGTTCCATCCTGCCAGTTGCCATGTGGAGCTTCTCTGGGCATTTCCTATTCGAATCTCATCTATAACATTCATGTTTGAAAAGATAAGCTAGCAGTATTCGACGGAGGGCCCTATACACATTTTGAAGAGTTTAAGCTTAGCCTCATTTGTCAAGAAAATCTTATTTCTAAATCCTATTAGCACTCTGGATTTAGATATAATGGAAGAAGCATGTTCTTCAAATTTCAGGCTTCTGGACTAATGAATATCAAGATCATGCGCTGATATAAGTGTCTGAAACCCACATTTTTGTAAGTAGAGAGTTATTGCATGGCGATGCTTGCTAAAATGTATGATCCCACATTTGTAGTGATTCACCAGCTAGTGACGTGTTTTGCTTCAGCTAGAAAAGTTTTCAGAGGCATTCTGAACCCTGGATATATTTTAGTCCACATCTTCAGGCTTATAGCCGTTTATTATTTTGAGATCATCTGCGTATAGGTATCCAATTAGTATTTTACATCCACGACCGTATGCTGTAGTTCATATCAAATTAGGCACTTCGTTAATGACAGTTTCAGCAAAAATTTTTGGATAGATAATCATAATAATAATTACTGGTTTAATTACGCCTGTGACTCGAAGTGTAGTACAGGCCACCGATCAGCATTCTCCAACCTACTCTATTTTGGGCCTTCTTTTCCACTTCTATCCAATTACCTTTCATTCTTTTGATCTCTTTCTGCGATTCTCGACCTAATGTGTTCTTTGGCCTTGAAGGTAATGATCATAATTATTATTTATTCTCAGTGTGTTATATGAGGCGTGTCGGTTTACAGGCGGGATCAAAATATTAAAATTACCAACACATATACTGTTTAGTGTTATTCAGTTGAACTCCGCCTGTAGTCCATCGGGGCTACTGCCGGTCCCAAGCCCGCATTCATAAAGCCACATGTATTTCACCGGACCACACTACTCAAAACCAGATTGACCATATCTGTATCAACAAAAAGGTTCAGAAGGACCATGGAGGATGTGAAAACCAAGAGAGGAGCTGACATAGCCTCAGATCACCACTTGCTGGTCGCTACAACTAAAGAAGCACTGGACAACGGGGCAGACAACATCACAGAGGTTTAATGCAGTCTTTCTTCGGGATACCGTCAAACTCAACGAGTTCATGATTGCCCTCACCAATAGGTTCCATGCCTTGGAATTATTATTTGTTGATTAATTAGTGGATGGCCCTATATGTGATGCTAAGTATCATCAAAGTTGTTGTCAGAGTTTAAGACAACTTCACTGCGATCTTGATCTTATTGAAAGCATTCGCCAGATAATAACTTGACAGGATCTTAGGTAAATAATCTGTAAGTCTTCTGTAATATCAAGGCTATTATTCGAAACGTACAATTAGGTGTCGAAAATGAGAAAGAAATCGACTGGTAAGAGGGGCAAACCAGAAAGTGTCCTTGTTCAAAGCTGATTCGAAACTCGAAAGAACCTATTTATATTCCACTGATAATGACGAGTTATAATATAACGAATAAGTTGGTGTGTGTTTAGTTGCCGTCAAATAACAGCGTTTATAGCCCACTAATATCATCTCCTTTCGGATACGCTTTACCGCTTACACACTTATGGCAGGCATTTCCGTGTACTACACTTCTAACTGAAGAAAACTTTACATCCTCGTGATACTGAAGTCTATGCAGTTAGATTCGAGTTGTTTATTTCCAGACTTTTTAGTAGCTATTACTTATTTGCTTACTTCTGGTAATCCAAATGGAATACAGGCCGCCAATTAGTATTCGCCAACCCACTCTTTTCTGCAGCTTTGCTTCTAGTTCTACACAATTTCCATTAATTTTTCAACGTCTGTCTGTGAGTCCTGGTTCAGTTTTTTCCGTAGTCTATCGCTTTTCTTTTGATCCTGAGGGTTTTAAGTTGCAGTTTACCTAGTAATAAAAGCGGATGATTTCCATAGTGTTTGTCCGATCAATCTTCATGGCTTTTTTAATCTCTTCCTCAGTCAGCAGCTGATCTGTCCTCTCCCACAGTAGGTTGTTGCTGATGATGTCTGGCCAACGGATCCACAGTATCTTACGTAGACAACTGTTAATAAACAACTGTATTTTATGGATGGTGGTTTTGGTAGTTCCCTAAGTTCCAACTCCATCCAGTAGAACTGTCTTGACGTTTGTATTGAGACTGCTGACTTCCGTGTTTGTTGACAGTCGTTCTGAGTCCCAGATGTTCTTCAACTGTAGGAATTCTTCCCTTAACTTACTAGTATGTGCATTACGTTGGCATCAGATCCAACTCGCTCGTCAATGATGCTGCCCAGATTTGTAAGGGTTTTCACGGCATCTAAGGCATCTTCATCTAGAGTGATTTCGTTAACACACGTTGTGTGGCATATGAGTATCGTTGTTTTTCCCTTGTGTATGTTGAGATCTACTGCTGCAGAGATTTCTGCTACACTGGTTGTCTTCGTCTACCTTTGTTGTTGTGTTTGGAATAGAAGAACTAGGCGATCTGTGAAGACCGAACCGTCCATCTGCATCCAAGCTGTCTATTGTGTTCTGCGCTTCCCCTTAGATGTTAATGTCTTCATAATCCAGTCAACCACCAGAAGGAAGAGAAAGGATGAAAGTAAGAAAACGTATCTGACTCCGGTCTTTATTTGAAACGAATTCGAGGGCTGTCATCCTAGCGTGATAGTGCAGCGTAATCCATCTCAAGAATTCCGTTTGCTGTTGACTATTTTCTCAAGCGAGCCATAATATCGAGAAAGCTTACACAGTATCATCCCTTCCATACTATCAAATGCTTTCATTTACTCCAGGAAGTTGATGTACAGTAGTGAATTTCATTCAAACGAATGTTCAACAAAGACCCGTAACGTCGCAATTTGTTTTTATTGCTGAAGGACTCTTTGATTCCATCTCGGTAACTTTTACAAAGGTATATGTTCTATAAAGAGGATTCGTTACCAGAGATAAGTTTAAGTGTTGACAATGAGCGAAAAAATTTCTGAGAAAAGCATACATCTATGGTTAGTTAGCAGAAATGGAATGCAGATTGTTCTCAAACATTTCTAATGAGAACAAACTGATCTGCACAGTAAGACCTTTAGAAACACGAATTTACATTATTTACAGAGTTGTTCCTCAATAATATGAACGGTTAGTGAATTAGGTTAAAAATGATTTGGAGTAAAACTTGGTAAGAGCCTTACGTGACGTAGATTTAAAATGTGTTGATGCCTTTCAAATAATTGATTTTGCATATTTACCAGTATGCGTAAAAATGTGAGAACGACGGACTACAGAGCATCTCAGACGTCATTACGGTCTAAAAGTGATCATCCTCAGCAAGTTACTTTGAGATGCTGTCAGAATGAAGCAGGATTTATCGTCTTAATTTTTGTTTAGTCTTTATAGAAGAAATTTATTATCCTGTATGTTATTAGGCACAATTTTTTGATGCTTCGATATTCGACGTTTTAATTCTTTAATATTAATTTAGTTATTTGATGTAAAAGTTTACAATGATTCTTGATACTAAACCATATGTTCTCCTGATTTTCCAACACCATCTTTAAATGAGATTTCTCATGCCAGTAATGGAATGTGTATCTGTTGTGTCAGAAATATATTATTTTTGTGTTATTCAGGTGTTTACTTTTCGTTAACATGCGTAATTTTGGAAAACTTAAAGCTACTGATATCTTTTTGAACTAAATGGAAAGGTACTTGAGGAATTCGGCTGACGTGGAAACTATGACTGTGCTTCGAGTTAATTTGGTGACGTTTAGTATTGTGTACTTTCAAGGCTACCATGAAGTTGAATGTTAAACTGTATGTAATACAATTTCTTGATGTCTGAAACTACCAAGCAATATCATCATTACATTATTGACGGCTTTATCCAATATTACATGTTTAGTGCAATATAAAGTCCTTAATACATCGTCCCTACTATCGTCGTCCCGCTATTTCTCCACAAACGTTTAAGGTGACAGTGTAATCAATGGGTCACCATTTTTAGTAGGGTAAAAAGAACAAACAAAGCACTGAACCTTTTTTGTGAATAATACTTTGATATTTCAGTGCTTCAGCCATGCTATAGAAAGTTGTCTCTCCGTTTCTTGTTTTGTACCTTGTTTGTTTCTGTCAAGACTGAAAGTCCCATTTTATTAACCAAGTCTGAACCGGCATTACACACTGATTTCCAACCTTTAAAGTATGGTTTCGGTGAAGCTTGATGTTGCCCACTTATACGATATCGAAATATTTCATCAGTCCCGTACCACCATGTACTTCATCGTTTCCGAGATAACACTCGCAGCAAGTAGAAAAAGATTGGTGGGATTTACTGAGAACCTATCTATTTCATCCTGCAACCTGTCAAAATTAATAATTTTAGACAAATTCATGAAGTTCGCTATGTTCATTGTGGATAACAGTGGGAAATCGTCTTCAGAACGGTTGCTTTCTTTTCTTTTCCGACATATGAGAGCCTTAAGATTGACTCTTTCCGCATGTTTTTTGTAGCAGTTATTTCCTCAGCATAGTGACAAATCTGTCTGGTATAGCTAGAAAAAGTCCGCGCAGACCTAATTTAATTATGATAGCACCTGGATGTACTTATGTAGATTATAGTTGTAAGAATATACTAAGTGCTTGTGGTGCACTTTATTTAACCTGTATTACTAAGTTTTTGTAGCTCCTATTTCAGCTATGTGCTATTTAGCATATTCTTTCCGTTTTGTGGTTTTGGATATTGTATGGTTGAATTATACTTTGATTTAAATGTATCTGATTTGCATTAAAACTGATTTATTGTAAATGATCCTGATCCTTTTCAGACGTGTAACTGTATACATTAATTCGTAACAGATCGTTGATACTAACCTCAGTGCATCGTTCTCCCTGTATCCCGCTCCAATTTTGTAACATCTCACAGTTTTTGTGGACACCATTAGTGAGTCGAGCCTTCAAATCATCTGCCTTAAACATGGGTGTTCATCAATTGAGCAAGGTGATCGGTGATAATGCACAAAAAGCTGTCAAAAGTTGTGAAATTAAATCCTATTTCGGTAGGATCAGTCATTCGCATTCCTGTTATCGTTTTTATTTTAGGAAGGAAAGTAGCAATTGACGCTTCAATGTCAATTTATCAGTTTCTTATCGCTGTTAGACAAGAAGGGAATACTCTAATGAATGCAGAAGGCGAATCGACTAGGTAAGTTTTATGAGTAGTTTTGTAAACAATGCGTCTAGTTTGAAACATCTTCCGTATCTCGTCAATAAAAAAATAAGAACTTCGTGAACTCCTGGATGATACCCCTACCTTTATTTATCCGAGCATCAATCATATCAGTCATAACTCAACGTCCTACCTAGCATGGATGTGTCAATCTAAGTTGCCGCATTTTCTTGTTCTTACAGTAGATGATAAAATTAACTAAATTCAACGAAGCAGTGATGAGAAATAGTGTCGAATCCGACTGCAAGCTAAGCTCGAGAAAAGCAGTTTCATAAAAGATGTGAATGGTGTGTGAGAAGCATTAAGTCCTGTAATTAGAAACTTAGGAAGCTCCTAAGATAGTTGGAGCCGTCCGTGCGTAAAACTGCCCCACCCCCTGTTGTCAATTCGAAACACTGGATCGAGATCATGTTTCGTTTATGTATACATTTGCCTGGAATCCAATAGACGTAGTAAAATCAGCGAAGTAACCTGCTTGGGATAAGTTCGAAGCCAGAATTATTAATAGTAGGCTTAAATAAAAACTACCTACACATTCGGTGGAGTGTTAAACTAGCTCTTATCCTAGTGTAGTTTATCATCAGAACGTTGCACAGACTTCAGTAAATATTTCCCTACAAAGTAAAGAAATTTATCTTACTCATCTGTCAAGCTTTGCGACTTTTAATAACACGAAGCAATCAGCAGGAAAATCTACATAGCTTTGTAAATTATGCATTATGAACGGAACATCTTTTAGAGTTTGTCTATTCATAATCAAAGATTTGTCGCGCTCGTTACATTTATTTTGCTGACTCGTTTCGAAATTCAAAATGGATTTTTCAATATCAACAGTTCGAGCATTGTTACTCTTGTTTGAACATCTTAAATATCACATTACTTTGTACCCAGGAATCTTTCCGGAGATTTATATATACAACTCGAACATTATTTTTTTAGTTATTTGAAACATGACATGAATCATATTTTTCTCTCGACCATATATTTCGTTTGTCTGTGTGATTATCTGGGTTCACCATCCTTTTCAGCTTCAAAAATTGTGAGTTGATTTAATACGGTTTGAAATATACAACTCAAACGTATTACTATTTTTTATTGAAACATAAATGCTGGTTCAAAAGGCACCTAAACATTTATGCGATACACCATTAAATTTCTGCTTGAATTGAGATAATATCCGGTCCACTGGAAGAACCCCCTTTTAATCACTTTCCATAGTGTGAGCAGACGGAAAGTGACATCCGACCTCATACCCGTAACAGCACACAATTAACGTGGAATGGTAACCTGAATTTGCACGTACGTACAAAGTTGTACGTTGCGGCTGACTGACTGATGTCCACCCTAACGGAGATTGAAATGATATCCAAAAAGCTGTAGAAACAGAAGCGATACATGCTAGCAAGGTTAATCACAAGGTTGGAAAGAAGCGGTGGATTTCAGTAGCATCTGCCGAACTGTAGATACTCGAAAACTCATACCGTCTGGTTCTGAGTACGATGAGGAGCAGAGTCAACATAGGCGTGGGCTCATAAAAAGCTTACGCAATAATCGCGAGCAGTGGTGAGTAGCGAAAGCGAGAGAGATGGAAAAGGCAGCGGCAACAGTAGACAACCATTCAGACTTATCAAAGAAACCGCTATTAGCAATCCAACTTTAAATGAGACTATCTTGGAAAAGGATAGTTTTATTATTAATTCTCAATCCAGGAGATTTGATCGGTGGGTAGTATAGATCAGTTCAGGTGGCATCCACCCACACTTCGGTCGCCTACAATCTCCACTCAACCTGAATGGCAAATCCACGTAAGTCCTCCGACTCTAAACGAAGTTGAGAAAGCTATAGGAAATCTAAAACAAGAGAAAGCAGTGGTCTCTGAGAGATTGATCCCCGAGATTTGTAAGGATGGTGGCCCAGTTTTAGCAGTTAGATTGATTGAGATCTTAGGATAGAATTTGGGAACTGGACATAATCCCATCTGACTGGTCTCAATCGATGATTGTCCCAATTTTTAAAAAGGACAAAAGTCCTTTTGCGACAATCACAGAGGAATAGGTTAAATTAATATAGTTTCTAAATTGTTAGCTTGGATAATACTCAGGCGCCTAACTAAAACTCGTGAGGAGTAGACTCGAGAAAACTAGGCTGCTTTCAGACCTAGACGTGGATATATGGACCACAAATTCACACTACGACAGGTCCTAGAACAGAGACACGCGTTTAGGCGTCCGATAATAGTTGTTTTCCTTGACCTTAAAGCGGTATTTGACTCTGTCGATCTTGAGGTTCTGTGGCAGTGTCTGTCATTAAAAGGTGTACTAAACAAGTACATTAACCTAACACAGGGTCTCTACTCGAACACCACACGTAGAGTGAGAAAACGTGGCGAAATGTCGTCGGAATTCTCTACTTCAAGTGGTGTCCGTCAGGCCTGTCCACTATCTCCATTCTTGCCTAACTTTTTCATTGACACAGGCATTTAGGTGCGACACTTGCATCATGACTTTTCAGGAGTAGACCTTCTATCAGGAAATTCGCTCATTGACTTAGAATATGCCGATGATATAGTTTCGTTTTGTGAAGATGCTGACAAAATGCAGTCTTCTGACTGGCTTAAGCAACAGTGCAAGCATGTTCGGGTTGCGGTTTCCCCCCTGGGAACGCAAAATGTGGCTTCAAGATTGACTTGCGTCGGCACCTGAACTGGTGATAGAGAGTGAAGTAGTTGAACGTGTTGACCGCTTCACTTATCTAGATAGCCTCATCAGTGCTGATGGCCTGGTGACTGACGAAATCTCAGCACGGATAGAGAAGGCTTGGTTGGCTTTTGCCAACTTGCGTCACTTATGGCGTGGGTGAGATGTCTGTCTGCTAACCAAAGGACGAGTCTACTGCACGACAGTTCGCTCCGTCCTACTTTGGGGCTGTGAAACATGGCCAGTCAGAGCAGATTTTCGTAGGTTACTGATTTTCGATCATAGGAGTCTCCGAAGAATTACCCGAGTATCCTGTGACAACCGAGTAAGGAATGCTGTTGTTAGGAAACGGGTACTAGGTAAGGATGGCAGATCAATAAATGAGGTAGTCAAACTTCATCAGTTGACGTGGTTGAAACGTGTGTTACGAATGCCTAACCACCGATTGCCTTGACAGGCGATGTTGTCCGAGGTAGGGTTGGACTGAAAGGAAGCTAGCGACAGCCAAACCAAAACACGGCACAAATGCACGAAGTCACTGACAAATGGAGTGAGTCATTTCGGTAGGTGTGGACTACCTGGTTTGGGTTTTCGAGACGATAGTAATCGATGGTTAGAGACCTTGGACGACATGGCTCAAAATCGTTTGCAATTGCGCAGGTGCATCCACTTTTGTGTTCTTTCAAATCCCCATCATCTGAATTCTTCATGACCATTTTTCCCTATATTTTTAACTGATTCTTCCGCTGTATACATCTCGAATGATGAATTCGATCATTAATCTTTTTGAATACTGCTAATACTTTTACTATCTGTATTACTACGGGGTTTGACTTGACAATTGGGTCTTTGTGCTATTGTGGTATGGCAACTTGAACTGATCTATGTACGTCCGACGTTCTACGTTTTTAACTGACCAACTTAGTTAAGTATCATGAATAAAACTTCTCAATTTAATTGCATGCTAACTACCTTGTTTCTTCTTTTCCCTTTGATATTTCAGTCACTTGATGGGCATGTTTTATCGAACAATAAGAATGATAGAAAATGGAATCAAGCCTGTATATGTTTTTGAAGGAAAACCACCCTCTATGAAGGCTGGTGAATTGGCGAAACGCGCTGACAGACGTAATGAGTCAACTAAAGAATTGGCAAAAGCAGAAGCTGAAGAAAATTTAGAAGCTATCGAAAAATTCTCCAAGCGTTTAGTCAAGGTTACTCCAGCTCATAACGAAGATTGTAAGCAGCTTCTTACTTTGATGGGTGTTCCATTTGTTAATGTGAGTTTCCTTTGTAGTAAATCTTTCAACTCTGTGACCAATATTTTCTCTAACAATAATTCTAGTTTTAAGTATTCGTCCCGTCAGGATCCGGGAGCTCATGTGCACCATTAACTTGGAATCAAGGTTTTCCAACTCTAGGTTGATCGTCCGTATTCACCAACCTTTTAGAGCCGCTGGACACTCACTTTTCGTCCTTTTAGTCTCGTAAGCACCCACTTCCACGAGATCGCAGCATGACTTCCCTGGCAGTGGCTATAATATCCGTACGGCCATATGAGAGCGTTTTGAGAGGAAGAGCGGGCTCTTCACACTCCGCCGTACCGGGATATTTTGGGGGAATCTTATACGATAATTAACAATTCTAGCTAACTACTCATTTCTGAACTAGACGAAGCAATATTCGGATGTACAAACATGGAACCGAAAACTTGCCAATAAACTTGTAAAATTTAGGTGCTTCATCTTAGTTTTCTCTTTGATCTAACAAACTAATTTGTATTCTTTACAAAGACCTTTCCTGATGGTTGTAACCAGATGTCGTGGATTCGTTCATGGATTGATGTTGAATAAAAAATGTTTAGTGTCAATTTTCATCATATATCGCGAAATTTAGTCTGGAGTTTTCTGTGATTTCTATTAGACCTTTTATTAGTACATGGAATTTAGATATAGATATCACGGCCAGTCATTACTTGGTTTTTAATAAAGATACTATGGGCTTTTTTCAATTTTGGAACTGAGATTAAAATTTTAGCAACATGTGCACATTTTCTTTTATTTCACATATACTACCATGGAACAAGTGTGATATTGTTTTAGCAACCACAATTACCAACATCGGACTTTCAGAAGAGATCATTTTATTCAGCATAAACACTGCTGTCGTTCATGATTTTGATTCTGTAACACTGTTCCAAGTTATTTTTACAGAGTATTCATCAAGTAAAAGTAAATTTGATCGTGTGCTTTTGGGGGTATGAGGGTGAATTTCACTTCCCGGTTGCCGACACTGGAACAGCGTTTCTTGAAGAAACTGAAAAGAAAGGTAGATTAGTGTTAGTTTTAGGGACCTGGGAGAGTGACCGCAGAGGACAAGGGATAACTGCATAAGGACGGTCGCGCACGGCCTTTTAATGAGAAGTTCTTAAAGTCTTAGCTCTGCTCTTGTTTAAAAAGGCTTACTTCTGGAGACGTAAATCCGTGAGGTAAGGTGAGGTGTGACATTTTCGGGGTCGACCTTTTCTAACCCCTTCCTTCCTTGTGAGGAGTCAGCACCGCTGCGGATGCTAGTTGCCTGAAGGAAACACCTTACTGCTGTCACACCTCTCTACAGTCAGCAGTCCTACTTCTCTCCCAGACCGTGAGTAGCTGCTTAGCATGTTAAAACCTTCAGAAGTATATGTTCCAGCCAATATAGCTCGGTTGGATCATCACAATAGGCAATCCCGACCACCACGTCAAGGTGGCAGCTACAGTCGGCTTTTGTATAAAAACAGGTACAAAACCTCAGAAACTGCTTGAAATATACAGTTTATTTTAGAAGTCAGTCAATCAGTTAAAAACGTAGAACGTCGGACGTACATAGATCAGTTCAAGTTGCCATACCACAATAGCACAAAGACCCAATTGTCAAGTCAAACCCCGTAGTAGTACAGATAGTAAAAGTATTAGCAGTATTCAAAAAGATTAATGATCGAATTCATCATTCGAGATGTATACAGCGGAAGAATCAGTTAAAAATATAGGGAAAAATGGTCATGAAGAATTCAGATGATGGGGATTTGAGAGAACACAAAAGTGGATGCACCTGCGCAATTGCAAACGATTTTGAGCCATGTCGTCCAAGGTCTCTAACCATCGATTACTATCGTCTCGAAAACCCAAACCAGGTAGTCCACACCTACCGAAATGACTCACTCCATTTGTCAGTGACTTCGTGCATTTGTGCCGTGTTTTGGTTTGGCTGTCGCTAGCTTCCTTTCAGTCCAACCCTACCTCGGACAACATCGCCTGTCAAGGCAATCGGTGGTTAGGCATTCGTAACACACGTTTCAACCACGTCAACTGATGAAGTTTGACTACCTCATTTATTGATCTGCCATCCTTACCTAGTACCCGTTTCCTAACAACAGCATTCCTTACTCGGTTGTCACAGGATACTCGGGTAATTCTTCGGAGACTCCTATGATCGAAAATCAGTAACCTACGAAAATCTGCTCTGACTGGCCATGTTTCACAGCCCCAAAGTAGGACGGAGCGAACTGTCGTGCAGTAGACTCGTCCTTTGGTTAGCAGACAGACATCTCACCCACGCCATAAGTGACGCAAGTTGGCAAAAGCCAACCAAGCCTTCTCTATCCGTGCTGAGATTTCGTCAGTCACCAGGCCATCAGCACTGATGAGGCTATCTAGATAAGTGAAGCGGTCAACACGTTCAACTACTTCACTCTCTATCACCAGTTCAGGTGCCGACGCAAGTCAATCTTGAAGCCACATTTTGCGTTCCCAGGGGGGAAACCGCAACCCGAACATGCTTGCACTGTTGCTTAGGCCAGTCAGAAGACTGCATTTTGTCAGCATCTTCACAAAACGAAACTATATCATCGGCATATTCTAAGTCAATGAGCGAATTTCCTGATAGAAGGTCTACTCCTGAAAAGTCATGATGCAAGTGTCGCACCTATATGCCTGTGTCAATGAAAAAGTTAGGCAAGAATGGAGATAGTGGACAGGCCTGACGGACACCACTTGAAGTAGAGAATTCCGACGACATTTCGCCACGTTTTCTCACTCTACGTGTGGTGTTCGAGTAGAGACCCTGTGTTAGGTTAATGTACTTGTTTAGTACACCTTTTAATGACAGACACTGCCACAGAACCTCAAGATCGACAGAGTCAAATACCGCTTTAAGGTCAAGGAAAACAACTATTATCGGACGCCTAAACGCGTGTCTCTGTTCTAGGACCTGTCGTAGTGTGAATTTGTGGTCCATATATCCACGTCTAGGTCTGAAAGCAGCCTAGTTTTCTCGAGTCTACTCCTCACGAGTTTTAGTTAGGCGCCTGAGTATTATCCAAGCTAACAATTTAGAAACTATATTAATTTAACCTATTCCTCTGTGATTGTCGCAAAAGGACTTTTGTCCTTTTTAAAAATTGGGACAATCATCGATTGAGACCAGTCAGATGGGATTATGTCCAGTTCCCAAATTCTATCCTAAGATCTCAATCAATCTAACTGCTAAAACTGGGCCACCATCCTTACAAATCTCGGGGATCAATCTCTCAGAGACCACTGCTTTCTCTTGTTTTAGATTTCCTATAGCTTTCTCAACTTCGTTTAGAGTCGGAGGACTTACGTGGATTTGCCATTCAGGTTGAGTGGAGATTGTAGGCGACCGAAGTGTGGGTGGATGCCACCTGAACTGATCTATACTACCCACCGATCAAATCTCCTGGATTGAGAATTAATAATAAAACTATCCTTTTCCAAGATAGTCTCATTTAAAGTTGGATTGCTAATAGCGGTTTCTTTGATAAGTCTGAATGGTTGTCTACTGTTGCCGCTGCCTTTTCCATCTCTCTCGCTTTCGCTACTCACCACTGCTCGCGATTATTGCGTAAGCTTTTTATGAGCCCACGCCTATGTTGACTCTGCTCCTCATCGTACTCAGAACCAGACGGTATGAGTTTTCGAGTATCTACAGTTCGGCAGATGCTACTGAAATCCACCGCTTCTTTCCAACCTTGTGATTAACCTTGCTAGCATGTATCGCTTCTGTTTCTACAGCTTTTTGGATATCATTTCGATCTGCCTCATGGTTGATATCCCGTTGGTGGCCGCGTAACTCTATCTAATCTTACTTGAAATTTATTTTTGCTTTGTGATCATTTACTATGATTTGAAGAGGTTTCCTTACGATAGATTTCCTAGTTCGAGTATTTCGCATACAGATACGCGCTCACACTAGACCGCGTCCTGAATCTAAACAAATTCTCCAGAACTAATGGTAGTATTTAGTTGAGCCACTGATGTGATTATAGGTAGCGACGTGATCTGGATGGGTCCAATTTTGTGTCTCTTTTCGGTGGCTGCCATTTCAAACGATGTTTTTTTCCTATGCCTACAGTTAGGGTTATCCAGAAATAGTCAGTTATGTGAGCATTGCTGCAGCAGACGGTCTACATTGTCTTATATTTGAGGTACGGTAGCATAAGATACACCCATGTGTCTTTCGTTTTCACTTGTTCAACCTACTTGATTATTATAGTCACCAGCCACTATTACTACATCAGTGCGCTTAACTTTATTTATGAGTTCCGAAAGCTTTCTGTTAAATTCATCGTTTACCTGCGTCTGAGTTGCAGTTAGTGGAGTCTCATAGAGATACGACGATGAGGCACCGGCAAGTGACCCTATTTTTCCGAGTCCTTTATGTCCTGTTTAGATGGACAGCACACAAACGAATATCTACTGGGATCTAGTCCGGGAGTGATAGTTCTGACCTAGGACTCAAAGCTGTACCTACTCCATCGAGAGTATCATATATATGCCAGAGAATATATATATATATATATATATATATATATATATTTTCCTGGTTAGCGTTTTTTTGGCAAGTTAGTTTATGACAAGATGGGGTCGCCAACCCCATGGCTAACCCTCCTCCTTTATCCGGGCTTGGGACCGGCAGTAGCCCCGAAGGTTCGACTGGAACTCCAAACAACTTCTAACCAAATCCAAAATCAGGATTTTCAATCCAATATCAAGACAGTTTTTACTGTATGGAGCGGAAACTTGGAGAACTACGAAAGCCATCATCCAGAAGATACAAGTGTTTATTAACAATTGTCTACGCAAAATACTTCGGATTCGTTGGCCAGACACTATCAGCAACAACGTACTGTGGGAGAGAACAAACCAAATTCCAGTGGAGGAGGAAATCAGAAAGAAGCGGTGGAAGTGGATAGGAAACACACTACAAACAGCACCTAACTGCGTCACAAGATAACCCCTCACATGGAACCCTCAAGGCAAAAAGAAAAGAAGAAGGCCAAGGAACACATTACGCCGAGAAATAAGGAAATGAACAAAAATTGGACAGAACTGGAGAGGGAAGCCCAGGACAGAGTTGGTTGGAGAAAACTGGTGGGCGGCCTATGCTCCATTGGAAGTGTATACTTTGTATACACTTTGCGTACATACTTTGCGTAACAGATATGGGTGTACTCAAGTTAACTGTCTGCCCACCTTTAAGTTACGGGTTATAAACAGTTATCATTCAATTAAACTTAGATCCCGCCGTAGTTTTACTTCACTCTGTTGAAAACGAACAACTAATATAATAAGAGTATAAACCTGCTTCTCTCTTATCCCTTTATTTTACATCACAAATTTTGCTGTTCAGGCACCTGGAGAGGCAGAAGCGCAATGTGCAGTATTGGCAAAGTCGGGAAAAGTTTATGCTGTGGGGACTGAAGATATGGATGCATTAGCATTTGGTACTCCAGTTTTACTACGACATTTGACATTCAGTGAAGCCAGGTAATAACTTAATTGTAAACTTATTTGAACTTACATTTCAGTTATTGGACGTTTTTCGTCGTTCACTTTACAATCACATGACAAGTGAATAATTTTATTTACGTCTTGTTAATGCAGGGGTGACAAATAATTCAGTCAGTTGCAACATAGAACTTCGTACGTAAGTACGTCAGTTCATGTCGCCATACCACATCAGCACAGAGATGTAATTGTCAATCCAAATCCAATAGAAGAAGAGTTAGTAAGGGTATTAGAAGTAATCGGAGAGGTTAGGATTAGAAGATATTATTCAAGAAGTATGATTAAATGAGAAAAGTTTAGAAAGTCAAAACTAGAGGTGTTGAAGAATCCAGAAGGTTAGCATTTGAGAGAACACAAAGAATAAATGCACCGGCGCCATTGCGAACGATTTTGAGCCATGTCATTCAAGGTCTCTAACCACCGATTATTATCATCTCGCGGACCCCAACCAGGTAGTCGATAGTTACCGACATGGCTAAGTCCACTCGTCAAAGACTTCATGGATTTCTGCCATGTTTTGGTTTGGCCGCCCCTAAATTTCTTCCAACCTATTCCTACACTACAAAGCAAGGCTCGACGAAGCAGTCGGTGGTTAGGCATACGCAACACATGTCCCAACCACCTCAACTGATGAAGTTTCACCACTTCATCTATTGATCTGCCATTCTTACCTAGAACCCGTTTCCTAATAATAGCGTTGCTCACTCGGTTGTCCCACGATATACGAGCGATGCTTCGAAGACACCTATGATCGAAAACCAGTAACCTACAAATATCTTCTACTCTCATTGGCCATGTTTCACAGCCATAAAGTAAGACGGAGCGAACTACTGCACAGTGCACTCGTCCTTTAGTCAGCAAACGGATATCTCGCCTACGCCTTCAACACCTCTAGTTTTGACTTTCTAAACTTTTCTCATTTAATCATACTTCTTGAATAATATCTTCTAATCCTAACCTCTCCGATTACTTCTAATACCTTTACTACCTCTTCTACTATTGGATTTGAATTGACAATTATATCTCTGTGCTGATGTGGTATGGCGACATGAACTGATGTACTTACGTACGAAGTTCTACGTTGCAACTGACTGACTGACTTTACTAGGATCCTGTATGCGCGTTTCCGGGACGCAGCATACATCGATGGCACGAGATTCTAAAGTCCTAGCTAATGATGCCTGTTGCCATATTTGACATAATGTACGTACATTAAATGCTCCAACATGTAGTCTAGAGCGGGGTTTAAGGAGACCAGGAACGTTTCGCGAACTCGTGTCGTCTGCATTAGCTGTGCACTGTGATAAATGAATGTGACAAGAGTTAGTCGTTGAGATAAGAGAGGTATTAGGGGCTGTAGGAAGGATTTGATTTTGACCAATTTGGTCTCGCGTGCTGTTACGGGTATAAGGGCGGTTGTCACTTCCCGGCTGCCCACACTGTGGAAGGTTGTTTCTTGAGGGACCTGGAAAGGAAGATAGATTAGTGTTGGACTCAGAGACCTGGTTGCGTGACCACAGAGCCCAAGGGACAACTGTTTGAGGCCGGTCACGCACGGCCTTTTTATGAAAGGTATTTAGAGGATTAGCTCCGTTCTTAAAGGCCCTTAGTGGGCACCCTTACCCAAGGAGTGACAAATAATTATCATTCTATGAATTCAGTGTACGTTCAGTATATCGTTATCTTCACTCAAATTAACAATAAGCAGTATAAAAACCTCAAGTAAATGTCTCAATCTTCCGGGTACTTAACCATTGCTGATAACTGCTAAAAGGTGCATCCGTCAATGGAAGTTAATGTTACTTTCAAGTGGGTTGTATTTGTTTTGATCGTCAAGTTTATTACCTTTCGTCTAGTACACTATTAACTTGGTAATGACCTTGTAAATCAATTAATAAATATTTAGGTTGTTAGTTGCTACTTGAGTGCAGTTTATAATCTTCCTTTCACAATATAATGAGATTGCATCGAACGGATGTTAAACTGAAAAGCATGAGCAATTATTTTTACGTTATAATTGTTTTGAACTTGGTACATTACCAAACTATCTTAAATATCCAAATTACTTTTCAATTGTAGATAGTTATAAAGTAAGCATTTCCCGACCCAAGTCAATGCTAACATCACCTTGGAATTATTATTTGTTGATTAATTAGTGGATGGCCCTATATGTGATGCTAAGTATCATGAAAGTTGTTGTCAGAGTTTAAGACAATTTCACTGCGATTTTTGTCCGTTCCGTAGCCATAACGTGACATAATTAATATAAGAGTAGCGCTAATGTAGTGAGTCTTAATCTGTTCGGTAGGTAGCTTAGATACCAAGTGTTACCAGATTCTCACACTGCTATTTATAGGGTTATTTGCTTCATAAGGTGTTTACTAATTGTTTTGTTCACGTAAATATTTTTTCTTCATGATTATGACTCAATGTCATTGAATTTAATTTTAAAGAAGTGCGTGTAATGGGACAGAAAATTTCTCTGTATTCATAAGTTGTTACTGTTAGTATATCTACTCTGAACCGTACACGCTGTCTGCCTTCTTTTAATAAATGAACTGGTATCACTCCATATTTGACGACAAAATGTGGAACTTTTATTCATATGATTTTTCTAACATTTGGGTTTCTTCAAAAAAAATTCAAGTATATCTTGTGCCATCTTAACGTCTTGTTGTGTGAGGTATAGACTACTTCAGACTGATCTTTATGTGAATGACATGTGATGTACATAAAACTATTATTACTTTATTGGTATAGAAAAATGGCCATTCAAGAATTTAACTTGGCATCAGTTCTCGAAGGTCTTGGTTTAACTATGGATCAGTTCATAGATTTGTGCATATTACTCGGTTGTGACTACGTTGATACAATACGGGGAATCGGTCCTAAAAAAGCGTTAGATTTGCTGCACAAGTACCAGTCGATTGATTGCGTTTTAAAGAATCTTGATAAATCTAAGTATCTTGTCCCAGATGATTGGCCATACGAAGATGCGAAAAAGCTTTTCTTGAATCCCGAGGTGACTGACCCTTCATCAATTGAAGTAAGTCATCAATGAAAGTTTTTAATTCTGTTTGTTTTCACGAGAGCAGTTGAAATTTGTCTCTACACAATTCAACTGCAAACCAATCATCCGTTTTGTGTTGTACTCTAGAGTTTATTGTTTAGCTTCAATTGTTTATAGGTGTACTTTGCTCCGAACCAGTACCACAAATGATTTTCGGCTATAATAACATGAAATATTTCAATCTCTTATTGTTGTATGTTCAGTCCAATAACAGTTCACTATTCACAAGTTTCTCTTATATTCTTATCGAATAGTTGGATATGTCGATTTTATTGAATTTCTAAGTGTCCTGATGGTTTGACTCACAGTGGTTGCAAATAGTCCTAGTAGGATAGAAACAGATTAGTAACGTCATCATCTCTACTTTTATATAACCGCTTCCTCTTAAAACTGACGTTTCATAAATACCGAGCAATCAGTTACTTTAACCTTTGGTAACGAAAATCCAGCTGTCCCTAAACAACTAATATGCACCCACCTACACGGCTGAATCCAACACTCAGTAATTAAATAAACTAATACTGTGCCTTGGTCAAATGGTCCCTAGCCCTCTTCCAATAACTACATCAACCATCATTGCCAATCAGAGTAACAGGGCTGCATAGAGATATGTAATACATGTTCAAATAATTTCAGGCAATGAAGATTCCCTATCCACATGAATCAATTAGCCATCTACACCCAGCATCCTGCATATAATCTCAGCACTGCTCACTCAATGGTCCCAACATACGCGAAGATATCTTTGACGAATTCCTAGTTACCTACGAAAATCCCTTGTTTTAAAAAGCTACGTTTCAAAACCACAAAGTAGAACAAAACGAAGGGCTCCGAAGTTCACTCGTACTTTAATTTTTCGTTTACGACACCGTTGATGTGAACTTGCAAAATCCAAACGAGTTTTCTAGATCTGTGTCGTCCCTGACAAACGGATCCGGGCTGAGGAGACTCCCATGATAAGTGCAGCAGTCACCGAGAAAATCATCTCTGCAAAAATTTCTACGACGACGTTAAAATTGTTGAAGGCGGACGACCCTGACGAACACTTGATGATGTCAATACCAGTGACGATTCGTCATAAACTCTGATATAGCCAGTACTAAATAAAAAGCTTGTACAAGGGCAATGTATTTCTTTGATACGTCTTTCAATGACAGACATCGCTATAGAGCCTGTCAATATACGAAATTGGGCGTTAATATATATATATATATATATATTCCCGACGGAGTTTACTACTGGGCCTCTGATGGCCATATGGTCTATTTCCATCCATCGTCGGGTTAATTTTAGAATTTCAGACGATACCTTTCTCCATGCTTAAAGTCGGTGCTTTCTAAAAATAATCGGTTGTCCGTGCAAATTTACAGCATTCAGTTGTTGATGCTTGTTCGGTGAGCTGGAACATTTTGGCTGTTAAAGAAGGAGGAAGCTCGTCTTTTTTCGCTTCTGAACTTCAGTCAAAGGGAGTTTAGGTAAAGATGACAGAAAAGCAACAAGGTCTGTCCGGTTCTTTTTCATTTATCACTCCCACAAGCAACTGTCTGATTATAGTCCAAAATAGCGTAAAAAACATTCGAGACTTCAGACGTTTTTCTGACATCGACTGGATGAAGTCATGATAAATAATCACACTTGGATGCTATGTACTTGTTTTTGAGATGTGTCGATACTTCGAGATTTTAGAGCCTTAACTAATAAACTTTATCCGATTTGGTCTAAGTTTCGAACATTGAAATCCGTAACATGTGGTTTAGGGCTGGAATCCGGTGAACTAGGACTGTTGACGCGTGTGATAAATGTAAAGTTATAGGAGGAGGTTCGTTAGTGAGTATAGAAATATTGAGCAATGACGAGGGAATTCGATCATGACAAAATCTTGGGTGTCATTAAAGGTATATATGTATTTGTCACTTCCTAATTGCTAACACCATAGAAGGATACTTCTTGATGTACCGAAAGTGAAAAAAATAGTAATTTTCTTTACAACTTAGGAACCTGACTGCAAATCCCAAGCACAACTGCTTCTAGCTGATCACACACGACCTTTCCATTGTATGTTTTTGGTGTGTTAGCCCCGTACTTTTAATTCCCTACCACCGAAGACGTAAGTCACGGGGTAAGATCAAGTGTAACATTTATAATCGACTTTTCCTAACCTCCTTCCGTTGAACAGATACCATCGCTAAAGATGTTGGTTGTCTATGGGAAACGCCTCACTACCGTCGCACCCTTGTAAATTCATTAGTACTACACCCCCAAACCTCAAGTCACTGCTTTCATTCTTACTGTTCCCCAACTGATCTGGTTTGTATGGTACGACCTAGGAAAATAAGTGTTACAACTAGTATAGCTCGGCTGAATCATCACATTAAACAACCCTAATCACCACATCAAGGTGGTGGCTACAATCGAGTACTGACCAGTAACAAGGAGAAAAAGTGTTGAATTCATCCTCAACGAAACATCTAAGCCAATCAAGAAAAATAACCGTATGTTTACTGATGAGAATAAAAGTATAAACCCCTATTCTTCAATTGGGTAGTAGTAAATTATAGATATAGTAGTTGTTAGTAAGGTATGCATTTAATTCCTTGTTGACATTTACTGCTATTGTTATGTCCATTGACAAAAATTCAAGTATTTCATTTTATGCAATGGTTCAAAAATGGATCACTT